AAGAAAGAAAGAAAGAAAGAAAGAAAGAAAGAAAGAAAGAAAGAAAGAAAGAAAGAAAGAAAGAAAGAAAGAGCCTGTGTGGAAGTGGAAGACTAGATCCTGAGAAGCACCATCTGCTCTGAACCACGCTCCCTTTCTGGAGATGTTTAAGCAGCTCGGATTCACTCCGGAGGCCACATCCAAGAGTGGAAGGTGTGCTCTGTGGTCAAGGCAACTTTAGGTATCTCCCACCAGCTTCCTTCCAAGGAAGAGGAAAAGGAGTTCTCCTCCTCTTCTTCCTCCTCCTGCCCAAGCACACCCAGCCACACTCTTCTGCCCTGTCAACTTCCAAGACTCCCACCGCTTCTCCCAAGCAACCTTCTCCCCTTCGCAAACCCAACCCAGACAGCCTGGGGGGTGGGGTGGGGGCTAAAGCAAAGTGCTCCCTCGACTCCGATGGACGCCACATCCACAACCCCACCAGAGCTCATCCAGGCAGCAGAAGCAGAGAATCAACAGAACGCAGGCAAAAATATAGAGATATATGTATAAAAAAGTCAAGGGTTTTTTCCCTCCTTTCAGGGAAACCCAAGGTGACCTACAGAGGCAAATCTGACAAATGTCCCTCTTTGGGGGACAGTTTGGAAGGCATCACATGGTCAGCACCACCAAGACAACCACCTCAAAAAATACCCCCGCCCCAAAAAAAGAAAAACCCACATTTTGCCACAAGTTACTGGCCTTTTCCTTGGCCAAAAGCATCATCCGTTGGGATGGCTGATCTCCTTCCCAAACACAGAAGGTCCTTTCCTCTGGGGTGGCGCGCCCCTGCCCCTCTATGCCCCCCACCTCACAACTCTCAAGGGGGGAAGACACACACAGGACTTGCAGCCCCATGTGCCTGGGGGAGTGATGGGCTCTGCACTCCTAGTGCCGACTAAGGAAGAATAACCAAGGAAGTGCCTTTAGAGACCCGTGAGGTCGACGATGGCTTTGACGAAGATGGTGTCGTCGCGCACGTACGAGTTCTTGTTCTCCATCTTGGCAATGGGGCAGAAGAGTGGGCAGCCGCTGGCAATGTTCATGTCACTGACGGGCCGCTGGAAGGAGGAGGAGGTTACGTCGGGCCGGAAGGCGTCAATCACATGTTCCCGGTTGTTCTGGTCCAGCAGCATCAGGGTGACCTGAGAGGAGGAGGACAGAAGATGAATGATGAGAACCAAGGGGGGAAAGAAGGCCATTCGTACACCCCTCCAAAATGGGGGTGTCACACCTTGGGGCCATCTATGCCCAGATTTGCTTCTCCTGGGAAAAGGAGGCGGCAGCCAAAGAAATTAAGTGGTTTTTGAGCTGTAGATATAATAATTTTTGGGACCTGGAAATTATTTCAAGGGTTCCTCCTCCTGGGTAAAAAGGTTGAAAAAAAGGCCTTTACAGACTGCCAGAAATAATGCAGATTGAGGCCACTTTAACTGCCCTGGCTCAGTGCTAAGGAATCATGGGAACTTTAGTTTATTGTGGCGCCAGAGCTCTCTGACAGAGAAGGCTCAGTGTCACAGAAAAAAATACAATTCCCATGATTCCCTAGCACTGAGCCAGAACAGTTAAAGTGACCTCAATCTGCATTATTTCTGGCTGCCTGTAAAGACCCAAAGACTGGTCCAAAGTCTCTCTGAAAACAAACAGCAAATGTGACCAGCCAGAGGCCTCGTTTTTAAGAAAGTTCCCTCAAATGCTTCATGACTGGTTTAACAACACTGCTCCTGTCAGGAAGGCTGCTTAAAAGCAACCCTTTCTCACAGACAGGAGCACAGGAGAGGCAAGACCATTCGTTCCAGGCTTGCCCAGCAAGCGAGTTCAAGCTAGACACAAGATTCAAACTGTGAGCCTCTCTGAGGCTCAGGCAATAACTAAGCACTTTCTCCTCATGGCTGCAGATGATGCCTTCTCCCTCATCCCTGCACAACCTACTATCCCACTCCCAAAAACGAAGTCCCCCACCCACCTTTTGGTTAAATGGCCACCGCAGGAGGGCATCGCTGGGTCCTTTCATCACCACGAAGAAGAGGGAAAGGTGGGTGCCGCGTCCCGTGCCGTCCCCATTGAGGTAGATGCGGAGGCACATCTTGTAGCCATATTTGCTCGTGTAGAAGGCTGGACGGAGGACAGCAGAAAGGAAAAAGGGAAAGAACCAAGATGAGGAGAGGAGCAAAACCTGGAGGGAAAAGCAATATTAGTTCTGCCCCAGGACTTGGAAAAGGTTCTCCTTTTGGAAAGACAACAACAAAAAAGGATTTTCCCCCAAGCTCAAGAGGATCTTCTCTGCTGTGGCACCCCATCTGCAGAAAGCCCATCTTGCAGAGGCCTGACTGGTACCAATGCTGGTCTCATCCTGGCATCAAGTAAAAACATAGGCCGAGATCTAGATCAGGGACTTAGTTAAGTCACATTAAGTTATCCTTGGAAACAGGTTGGGAAAGAAACATTTAAATAAATATATGAATATCCTTCGTAACCACACAAAGATGTTAATAAGCAAATGCGTGTAACCGACTCAGAGCACCACAAATTTTGACTCGATTTAAGTAGTGCTCAAAACTCTGGTGATAAATAGGCATGGAGAGTTGCTCTTAGCCCATCTTTTAAAGTTTCTAGTCCTCATGAAAGAGGTCAGTGAGAGGGGGCCATTGTCTTCCCCCCCAGCACCGATGTCCCATGGACTGCAATCTTCCTGTAGCTATTAGTAGCATCCAATCCAAGGAGGAAGTCAAAATCCAGCCCAAGGCCAAAAGGCAAAAGAAATTCCCTCTCCCTGGAGCACTCCCCTACCTCAGTGCCCGGTGCCCACCTGGGGAGAAGATGGCTGGCGAGCGTCCAGCTATGGCATCCTGGCGCTTCCGGGCAAAGTCGGTGATCTTCCAGATGAAGACACCATCGTGCGAGGCGGCTTCCATCTCCTGGATCGCGTGCTCCATCTCAGACAGGGCCAGGTCCTTCAAGGCAATGCTCCGCTCCAGCTGCCGGACCTGGGGCACAGAAATATGGATTTACATTGCTGATTTAAATTGCAGTGAAGAAGGTTCTGTAAAACTGTCCTATTTAACAGAAACATACTGTTATTTCATGTAACATTAATACGTAATTCAGAGGCTTGGTCAGAAGAAGGGTGGACAACCAAGGAGGACTAGTGGGCTGAATGGACCCCTCAAAGGAAACTTGGAGAGCTGTATCCCCCATAAATTGGGGGGGGGGGAATGCCCCCCCCTCTCTCTCTCACACACACACACAGGGCCACAGGAGTTCAGGGGTGATTACTTTTTAACCATCTCTGGGCCATTTTAGACCTTTTTACAAAAAGGAAGTGACCTGCTTTGGGTGGGGTGGGGCAGGGGGGATTGCCCTAAGCATAAAACAATAGGGGGTGCCAAAATGGAATTTGGTAGCCAATTTTTTAAAAATTGCAAAAAAAGGTTTGGACCCCCACAAGCCAAGAGCTCTGCCCCCCCCCCCCCATGCAAGAAGGCCACCGAATGGAGAGTCACATGGCAGGACCCAGACCTTGCTGCTGAGCGCCTCAATCTTCTCCTGGTCCAGCTGGTGCTGGCGGTGGTAGGCCTCGGCCGTGAAGGACACCCTCTCCACCTCTCGGTTGAGCACGCAGACAATGTTCTCGAAGGTGACCGTCTTTCTCTCCAGGGCTTCACACCTCCCCAGGAGCTCCAAGACGCTGGGAGACTCCAACTGCGAGAGCAGGGGGTCCCCACCCCGGAGTGGAGAGCAGCCCTCCTCCACCGAAAAGAGGCCTGATGGGGATGAGAGCTTTTGGGACTCCGACCGGAGGCTTAACACGAAGCTCAGGAGCATGTAGAGGTGCTCCCCCAGGCACTGGCTCTCGTGCTCAGGGAGCTTCTCGTTCTCCACCTGCACAGAAGAGGAAAATCACTAAGGCAAATAAAATAATATAAATTTTCTATCCCACTAGGCAGCTGTTGGCATTTGGTCATCATATCAATGAGAACTCTGAAACCCATCTGCCTGGTGAGGCCCAAGCCTAGGTCAGGGCACCCTCTGATCCCTCTTCAAGAAAGGCAGCATCACAGATAGGAAACGTGTGCCACCGCTTACCACTTCGTTGCAGCCGACGGGCTGGAATCTGCAGGGTGCTTTACATTTGCTGCAACTCTTGACATGCTCTGGGAACTGCAAAAAAGAAAAAGGGCACCCTTGTCAATGAAACACACACACAGAGTGTCTTCATCATCACCAACTTGATCATCATCAGTGTGATTTCTGTCTTGCTTTTCCTCAGGGCAGCTAAGCAACTATACAGAAAAACAAACCGCTAAAATCACAAGTTACCAGTGCCTGCTAAAAACACAATTAAAGGGATCCAAACTGCTGCCTCCACAAGGGTTTAACTACGGGAGGCCAAAACGAGGCCATTCATTCTCCCCCCAGGAGAATGAAATTTTCCTTCAGTCCCCAAATTTCTAGCACCGCAGAGAGGGAAACGTAGAAAACCGTTCCCACCTTGAACTCCTATCTGCTATGCTTCCATTCCCTTGGCCGGTTTGCCTGCCTCTGTTTCTCTGGGTGCCTAAACTGCATTTCCAAATGTTTGACTGCCGTTGATTCTTCCTCAGGAGAAAGCAGGACTCAATGCGAACCTCAGGACATTTCGGAAAGAACTTTTTGAAACCTCAAACATGCTGCAGACAACAGTACTGCAAACTCTTACCCTTTCCCTCGGGATCTTCTTCTTCCCACAGCCCTCACAGGTGAGGGGGAATTTCGGGCATACTTCATCATGGGCCTAGAGTGAAAGCATTTAAACAATGTATTTAAATATTTCAGCCACAATGGTGGAAGGAACAGATGGGGCAGTTTGCCTTTGGAAGGGCCAGCAACTACATACTAAACTAGGTTAACCTTTTGTGCACCAAAGAGAGACCACTTTGGAGTTTGGGGGTGGGAATTTGTTCAAAGCTTAATAAATTTATACACTTTAAATGTTTTATAGAGCCAGCATGGTATAGGGGTTTGAGCATGAGACTATGACTCCAAAAATCAGGGTTTGAATCCCTGTTCAGCCATGGAAACCTACTGGGTGAACTAGGACAAGTCACACACTCTTAGGCCCAGAAAACCAGGGTCGGCATAAGTCAGAAATGACTTGAATACACACAACAACAAACGTTTTAAACAAGTAAAAACCTAGGCTAAGTTCCCATCTTGTTTCTACATATAAATCATCTTGAATCATGCAAGTAAAGAGAGTCATAATAGCCCAAGGTCTAAAGGCTTAGGGAGCAAACAGGTGGTAGAAGGTGTTGCTATTTCTGGGGCTTCCCAGAGGTATCCACAATCTGGGAAAACGTTCCCCTTCTTTTGGACTGAAACACCCAGAATCCCCCCAGCCAACCATAGGTGTTGCACTCCAAAAGAAGGGGGAACTTTTCCAAAGCTTTGGGCCAGCTTGTGCAATGGGGCTTCTCAGCAGGAAGCGGGGAGAAAGGAGTAATGGGGGAAGAGGGGCTTTTCCACCCCCTCCGTCGTACCTTAATTTCGGGAAAGTAGAAAAGGACTTTGCAGTATTTACAGTTGAGGCTCCTCTCGGGGCACTCCCGCTCGGCATGGCGCTCCTTGTCGCTCAGCCGGACCAAACCCCGGCACGCCGGGCAGGCGACCAGGGCGAATGGGCAGCTCCCTTCATGGCAGCTCTGCGGTAAAAGGGAGCAGCACACTTCAGTAAAGGCAGACAAAGGAAAAACGGAATTGCTGCCAGAGCGCTTGGCACTATGCCCTTGCCACTCACCTGGTCACCCTGCAGGAAAGCAAGGGTCACCTGGAGTGACCAAGCGAATGCTAAAAGAAACTGGGGGGTGGGGGAATATGTTTTTCCCCCATACCACTAACACACAAGTGATAAGGCTGGCATTCAAAGGAAAGTGGGAGAGGAAGTGGGGTGCGTTTTTTAGGTGAGGGATGTCCTACCTTACAAGACTGGACACAGAGATTGGGGGATACTGGGAAAATGCAGAGGTGGAAAGACACAGGGACTGTTTCTTAAGGACTGGGCTATGTAGAAGCTGCCACTCTGGAATTTGACAGCTGAAAACTAACAGAGGGCTTGCATGGAGACAGCAATTCCACATCAGTTATTCCCACTTGGGAGATGGTCTGAAACACAGGCTCCCTTATTATTACTTCCCATTTCATGATCAACAGCATTTGAAGCTCAGCACTCCTCTGCTTGCACAAGGGACCCTGCCACAGCTTCCCAAAATTTGTGGTGATGACTTCCAGGGCAGCAACCACATGGGCCTCTCATGGCACCAGCGGACACCCTTGCAGACGTAAATGCATTCATCTTTAAGGTGCTACAAGGTTATTTAAAGTGTGGTGGACGCTCCTGTTGTTGCTGTTTCTGAATTATGGCGACCATATTACTGGGTTTTCTTGGAAAGATCTGTTCAGGGGAGGTTTGCCACCATGGTTTTCCTCTGAGGCTGAGAGAGTATAATCTGCCCAAAGTCACCCAGTGGGTTTGCAAGGCAGAGTGGGGATATGAATTGTGGGCTCTCACAATCTTAAGTCCAATGTTCAAACTGTCAAACCACACTGGCTCTCCATCTTTGGAGGTATTAAAACAGAGGCTGAATGGTCATTATTCAAGGATGCTTTAGTTGTGCATTCCTGCATGGCAGAGCGGGTTAGACTAGGTTGCCCTTTAGAGTCCCTTCCAACTCCATGACTCTATGAAGCTGCAATTCCATGAATCCTAATTCTGACAGACATGGGAGGGGGGAAGGGGAAACAAAGGCAGAGTAATGGAGATAAGATATAACAGCAGTGCTCAAAGCAATGAAGGCTGACCATTCAACCATTGGGTGCCCCTCTTTTGCAACCTTTTTTTGAACTCCACAAGGAATAGAAACTTGCATCATCAACTATCACAGGCAAGGACTGTGATAGTAATTGTTGTTGTTGTCCTTGTTGTGCTCTTTATGACTTTATGTTTGTAACTGTTTTACTTTCTTTCAGATAGTTGAATCACTTTTTTAAAACTTTTGTATCTTATGAATACACAAAATGTATTTAACTCTGTTTTTTAAATGGGAAGAGGCTGAGAAAATGGCAAAATAAAGGCAACATTAACAACAACAACAAAGAGCTCTGTCTGATTCTCTCCCAAGCACATTTTGGGCCTGGAACTACAGTATTTTGATACAGTATTTTGATACAGGAACACTGGTTTTTATTCTGTTCAGGTATGAATTCTCACCGAATGCAAAATTTGGGGTTGGAAGGGAGAAGCAAACCCAGCTGTGACCCTATAAGGAGCCACTGGGTTTGTGGGGAGAAGGTTAAGCACAGTGCATTTGTTTTGCTTTCTCAAAGGCCATCCTTTTATCCCTTCCCCTCCTGAAAAGAAAGCAAAAGCAAAGGAGCACCAGAGAGGACAAAGAGAGCCAGCCAAGCAAAGGACCTGATCCTCAGGCACAGAGGAGGGTGGGTTGGTTTCTTTCTTTCTTTCTTTCTTTCTTTCTTTCTTTCTTTCTTTCTTTCCTTCCCCCCTGCCCGTCTTGCACAACCCCTCCAGCCCAGGATTTTAGGGACTTTCCAAGAGGCCTGCCCTGCGAAAGGCGACTAGCCAGGGACTTTCCAAGAGGAAGGCTCTCTCTCACATGCTGCCAGCATGCCATTCATGCTTTGCTAGCAGAGCCCTGGACGGCCTCCCAGCTCAGCTAAACAAAGATCTCAATACGATCGGTCACTGGGAGAGTTCTGTAGGTCCTACGATCCACCTACCCCTCTCTTAATTCTTCTCCTTTCCTTTGTTCTGTTAAACTGCCTTGACGTGGATCCCAATTCCCCCACAAACATACACTAGGACAAGTGCAAAAAGATTTTTGTTGCAAAAGCCCAGTTTGCAAAATCCACACTGCATTTTTTTTTTCAGACAACCAGCTCTTCCAATAACTAAAATCAATGCAAACTACCCAAGTAGCTGCAGAACTGCCCCAAATCTCAGCGGTTCCAGTAGTCTGCCACCATCCCACCCCACTGCTCCACCCAAAACCAACCCAAAATTGGCCCAAAGCAGAACTGATACCATGTCAATTCCAGGTCGCTGAACATACTACAACACAAGAGGCAAACACTTGGGGCCACCTCCAGGCCAGTTACTCCCTGCTGAGAGTATTCAAAGAAGCCCAGCCTCATTCATTTTGAGAGGCACCTTCCAACCTTACAGAGGTAGCTGCACTCACAATCCCCATACACACAAACACACTTTCGCAACAATGGTGGAATGCAGAAGAGAGCAAAGTCAACCAAAAGATGCACAGCAAAAGGTCCACTTTCCAAAAGGTCCACTTTCCTCCCTCTCAACTGGCCCCTCATGCTTTGACCAGGAACACCTTCTCAAAGCCCTATGGAGAAGGGCTGACACCTCAGGATATGGAGGGGGCAACTTTCATGCAAAAGGAAAAATGGCCTCTGTGGGCCCTTCCAACTCTTTGATTCTATGAATAAGCTGTCTTTACAATGAGTCCAAATTATGCCAATAAAAACCCAAGTGCACAAGGTGATAGAGTGGCCTTTACCATTTATTTCATCTCCTTTTACCAATTCTCAGGACTTGGAAGTCAGGACTTGGAAGTCAGCAACACTGGGGCAGGGGGGGAAAGGGGAAGACCCCATTCCTGACCTCTCCCAGTCACCCCCTTGGCTCCTCAGACCTTGCCAGGGACTGCTAAATCACAGTTGAGCCTGCCTTTGCATCAACAGAGAATAGAAACTTGCTCTGAAACCCAAAGAGCTTTATTTGATTTCATTTAATAGCTGGCCTTTCTCCTAATACAATACACAAGGAAGCTCATAGCATAGATTCAGTATCAACACAGGGACAAAATCTCACTCAGGAGCTGCTGTTTCCAGGAGCTGATTCCTGCAACCATGGTGCCCATTTTATTCACTTTTGCACATTCCTGCAAACTCATGGCAGACATACGTTCTCCTGCAATAAACCGGCTGTGGCACTTAAGGCATGGTGGAGATTTCCCAGTACAAGGGAGGAAGGCAGATCCCAAGAAACAGTTGCTACTTAATCCAAAGAGTTGTGAAGAAAAAGAAAGGGAGAAACGCCAGTAGGGCTCCTTGCTCTGAACGTTACCTCGTAGTCCTTTATAGTTCCTTTCCACGTACAGCCCTCATGAACGCAGATCGCTGGGAGACTCTCCACCTCCCGCCGTGCCGCATTATCTGGGAAGGCCTCAAAGGGAAAGGAGAGAAATTATCAGAGAGGCTCATATCGAGGCTTTTAATTACCACAGAAAAACAAATTTCTTCCCCCAACAACAAAAAATGGGTTGAGGGGAAGATCAGAATCCAAAATATGACTGTCTTTTTTTCCCCACAGAGGAACAATTCCTCATTTACATTTTCCTCATTTACTTACCGAACTTGTTTCCAGAATCGAAACACCATCTTCGTATATTCCCTCTTGGATGCAGGCTCCACACTTCTGAGGCCCTGAGCTGTTGGAGAAAGGGAGTGACCATTAGCAGTGAGACACAGAGACCTTCAGGGTGAACCTCAAATTTGTGCTATGGAGTATGGCCCCTGTAAGTAACAGCAATCCCACATGGGTGGATCTAGCGGATGGTGAGGAAAGATCTGTGAGTGCAAAAGCACAGATGGGAGACAAGTTCCAAATCCGACCTTTGCAATAAATTAGACCCCTGCATGCCAGGCAGGCATGGCTCTCCTCCTCATCTGCTTCATGTGTATGGATGCAAGCTAGGGATTTTCTAGGCAACCCATTTTATATGCAACAGCCCATATTTTGGGGCTTGAAGTCTGGTCCCTTAATGTGTCTTATAGGACGCTCCTAATCCTGTATCTCTGAGGTGTTGCCTATGGGCATCAGCCACACTCCCAAAAGACCAACTCTCAAGCATTTGATACCCAGCGATCAGGTCAAATGCTGGGGGCCCTCGTGAAAGCCTGGAACTCCTGGGAGAGCTCTGTCCCTTGCAAGACTTGAGTCAAGGGGGAGTTATATAAGTCTGCCTCTCATTTACTGGCC